GTAGCGGTCTCGGTTGCCCAAGCCAGAGGCCAACCAGTCAGATGTTCGACCGCTATCAGGTTGTAACGTTTTCCGTTCTTCGTCTTGGGAAGGGGTCCCGCAAAGTCTATCGAGAATGTCTCAAAGAGCTGAGAGACTGGTATCACCGCCGTGCTTTTGTACGTCGGGATGGGCGCAGCCTTTTGGCAGCCTTCGCATCCACGAACGTAGGCGTAGATATCACCATGAACTCTCGGGCACCAGCACCTGTCAAGAACGAACTGCTTCGTAGCTGTAGCGTCCCAGTGGCCAATGTCGTCATGCAGCGACCGCAATATCTGCAGTCGAATCCCACGAGAAGGGATTGTTCTAATCCCATTCTTCGTCCTGCGAAACAGCCTTCCGTTCCAGGCGAGGAACCGCCTGGAGTTCTTCTTGATTCTGCGCCTCTGCGCAGCATCTTGCTCGACCATCTCTTCTCCTTCGAGATAACAGTACGTGTCCTGCACATGAGGTTCCATGTCTTCCAGTATATCTCCTTTCGCAAAAGCGGCAGCACATACTAGGTCCCCCTCATCCTCCTCGCGCCTGCCATCGTCTTTTCGTAGACGCGAGAGAAAGTCAGCGGCACAATTCTTTGAGCCGGGGCGGTACAATATCTCGAATTCGTACTCCGCCAAGAAATCCATCCAACGGGCAAGTCTACCGTGGATGTCCTTCTTTTTGAACGCATACTGAAGCGCTTGGTGATCCGTAATCAACTTGAACTTTTGCGTTGAGAGCAAATACACCCGAAATTTCTTTAGCGCGAAGATCACCGCTAATGCTTCTCTCTCACAGGTGGAGTACTTCTTCTCAGTCTCCGTCATCATCCTGCTGGCGTATTGTATCGGGTGAACCTTCTTGTCTTCCTTCTTCTGAGCCAGAACTGCTCCCACTGCCACGTTGGATGCATCTGTCTCGACCACGAAGGGTTCGTCAAACTTCGGGAGCGCCAACAGCGGAGGAGACGTCACCCTCTTCTTCAACTCCTGGAAGGCGGTCCGCATCTCTTCCGTAAATTCAAATTCGACTTTGGTAGAAGTAGCAGCATGCAACGATGCAGAGACTTCTGCGAACTTAGGGATGAATCGGCGGTAATACCCCGCTAGCCCAAGGAAGCTTCGTAACTCCGTCTTGGCGCGCGGCTCGGAGGTGTCCCAAATGATCGATGTCTTCTCTGGATCCACCTCAATCCCCTTCTTTCCGATGACGTGCCCCAATAGCCTGGTCTGTGATTGCGCGAAGGAACACTTCGCAAGCTTCAACTTCAATCCACTGCGAGCAATCAGCTCGAACACTTCAATTAAATGGTCAACATGGACGTCCAAGGACTTTGAAAAGATAACCACGTCATCAAGGTATACTTGGACGAATGGCAGGTCTCTGAATACGCCATCCATCATCCTTTGAAATGTTGAAGGAGCGTCCATGAGCCCGAATGGCATCACTTCAAATTGAAAGGTCCCGTACCGACAGACAAACATCGTCTGTTCTTTGCACCATGAAGCCATCCGCACTTGCCAATAACCCGAGAACAAGTCCGGGGTAGTGAACACTTTGCTTCCTTCAAGGTCGTCGAATATCTCTTCCATTTTGGACAACGGCCACTTGTCGGCCTTCATCATCCGGTTAAGCGCGCGGTAGTCAACACAGAAGCGAGGTTTCCCGTCCTTCTTCGTTGCGATGACGACCGGAAACGACCAAGGAGCTACAGAGGGGGTAATGATCCCTGCCTTCTGCATCTTCTCGATCTCCTCGCGCACTACCGCGTTGTGTCTCGGAGGGAGCCTCCGAACGGCGTGCGAAATGGGCCTGTCGTCATTTAACTCAAACGAATGTGACACAGGGACATCTGCCGGCCTGAGGTCGTCCAAAGACCATGCAGCTATTCCCATACTCTTGATAGAACACATTATGCGGTCGGCGTTCTTTCTGCTGATATGGCTCAGCTTAGACATGAGAAGTTCCTCCTTCTCATCTCTCTTCTCTTTCTCATCCGCCGGCTCGTACTCTGGGCCTTCTTCAGCTAGGTCCGGAAGTCCAGCATGAGGATCTTCGCCCTCAGTGACTGCTCCCGCCCAGGCAAGGTCTGGTTCAAACGGCACCCTTTCACGCAGCGAAAGGACGAAGTCTTCATCCGTGTCAGTCGAGTCAGCCGGCACGGCCCCCGAGTCTGAGGTGAAGTCCTCACTGTCGGTAGCGGATCCCGGCTTCTTATGGTTTTCATCCATCTCAAGACTTAGTCGAATCGTCTCCTCACCCACAGTTACTTGGACATGCTGTTGCCCCAAGTCAATGCACGTTTGGAGCTCCTCTAACGTCGGCATCCCCACGATGACGTCGTATGGTGTTCCCGTAACGACAAGGAAGTCCATCATGCTCACCAGTCCCCCAAACGAGACGGGGACCTGGCGCAGTGATCCAACACAAGGGGAGCTCTTCCCATCTGCCACAGTGATGTGTTTCTTCGTACTTTCTGGCGTCAGAGAAAGTCTCTTCATGAGGTGCGGCGACATGATGTTCGGCACGGCACCCGAATCCAGTAGTGCTTGAGCATCAGTTCCATAAACTTGAACAGTAACTACCCGAAGACGCCTCGGGAAGACATCCGTGTGGCCCTCAAACCCGCGAGAACGCCCCAATCTCCTGGATAGAAGGCGCTTCATTTCCTTCCTTGCTCCTTCAGCGTCTCCACGGACAAGTTGTCCAAATGTTAGACCAGACGGCGCATTCGCCAGCTCTGACACGACGTTATACTTGCCGACGTGCTCCTGGAGTGCAGCCTTCTTTGAAACATTCTTCTTCTTCTGGCGTGCAGGCTTCACTCTCGGCACTCTCAGCGGCTCATTCCAGGGGAGAGTTCCCCTAGGAGCTACTGGAGTGGGACTCAGCAGCCTCAGGATCGAAACTTCTTCACGGTTCTTCGACTGCTTCGGCAAGGCCTCTCCTTCGGCGTTGCGTTTCGTAGCTGCCACCAATTCTCCCTTTGTGGTCTCAGTTATGACCGTGACTTGCTTTGAGTCTCTGGTGGCCTTGTCACCGGCGTCGTTAGCAGAACCGCCTGCTTTCGGGCCATAAGCGCTTCCTGCGCCAGCGTTACCTTGAGGACGTGCATGAGCCACATTCTTTCTAGCAAAGCGGGACCAGCAAGTCTCCGTCGTGTGTCCAATCTTCCCACACGTTGGGCAACGAGTATCACGGTGTGGATTGGAACGAAAACGAGTCGCTGAATGCCCTGGTTCCTTGCAATAGGAACATGTCCAACTCGTATCACTGTCCTCTGACGTCTGTCGTTTCTTCATCATCAGTGACAGCTCCGCCAGCTGGTTGGTGATGGCGTCTACCTTGTTCTCCAGCTTTTCCTGTTGAGGATCCACATCAGAACGCATCAATACGCGCTTGGGCGTCACAGGTTCAACGGACTGCGCAGCAGTTTTCGCCGCCTTGAAGGCGTCACGGCCTGCAGCAAAGTCCTTCACGGTCTTCATTAGTTCTTCGTACGTCGTCAGAGAACGATAGATCGCGAACTGAGCAACATCCAAATGTGCCATTACGGCATTGCGAAGCAAGCCGTACTTTGCCTCGTCGTTGAAACCAGCCCTCCTGTAGAGCTTGTTCATTTCATCCATCGAAGTAAGCAAGTTCCCACCATCCAGTTGGCAACTCATAGCCTTCTGGATGGTTTCTTCTGGCCTCGGTGTCCCCGTAAAACGGTCAGACAGGGCGCTCTTCACACCGTCCCAGTTACTGGCGGCCTCGGTCAGACTCCCATTATGACTATACGTGTCATAGTAATAGTCGAACGCGGCACCCTCAAGGTGGCATAGGATAGCTCCTGCGTTCTCCTCGTCAGGCTTGCCGCGCATAATGATGTTCTCTTATACGAACAGAAACTTGGAAACATCTGACCCGTTCGACCCATCGTAGGTAACAGGGTTAGGGCCCGCACTTGTGTCTGCGTCGGCCCTCCACAAGAGTACCATGTTGTTTGTGAAATGGGGGAGGCGGTTCTGGGGAGCGTGCCGTTCGTGGTGAGGGTCAGCCGAGTGTCGTCCCCCCTTCCCCGCAGCGCCCGTCACCCTCTCTCTTTTATTTCTACGAAATTCCTTCCAGAAGCGTCCACGCATCCGGCCCGGATTCCGCCGGGCCGTCCGCGTGCGCTTCTCTAAAATTCAAATAAAATCTCGGACTACAGAATAAAATCTCTCTCTACAGTAAAATGCAAATATTTCCCTAAAAATATCTCACAAACAATGTGGCGGCGGGCCACGTCCAAACGACCGGCTCATAATGCTCACCTGGGGCGCAGCGTGAGATTCGTGTACACCAGTCTACCGCCATTCGCGGCTCAGGTTGCATCGCCACTCAACGCCCATCAAATATCCCCCTTCCGCTGCCGAAGCGCATGCGCCTGTCAGTGTGCCGTGGAGATACGCAAAGAGCCAAACAGTGGCTCCCTCGCCGTTTTCAGCCTCATGATTCGGACCTCCCTCGACCACCGCACCTCGAATTTTTCCCATCTTTTCTCAGCACAAACATCTACATAAGGTTTAAGTCATCCCTCTGCCCATCCTTGTCCCTTTTGACTCTGCAGAATCGTCATTGGTCTTCACTTTACCCTCGTCTCGAAACGAACCCTCTCTTCGAAGACCAAGGCCGCTTCTCTCTTGTCCGAACCATCCTCTATTGTTTCGAGTTCCCCCGAACAACGATAGAACCCAATGGCCGCCCTCCGCTCCCTCGCCTCTGTCGGGCATCGCGCTGGGCTCCTTGTCGCCCCTAGGGTATCTAGCTTTGCCAACTCGCTTCCGGCGTCTTCCTCCTACGCCTCGTCATTCTTCTCGCGATCCGTCCCGACGCGTTCATCCTTTTCCAACTTGTCCCAATACGCTCGCACCTTCTCCGCTGTCCCGGAGCTCTTCAGCGCCACGGACTCCTTCGCGAAAAGGCATAACAACACCTCGACGGACGTGTCAGAAATGTTTGCGTTCCTCGGCTTGCAGGACATCAATCAGCTCATCGACCAGACTGTTCCGTCCTCCATTCGCAACAATCGCGACTTAGAGGTAGGCTCGTCCCTTTCCGAGACCGAGGCTTTAGCCAAACTCAAGGCAATGGCTAGCAAGAACAAGCTCTACCAGAACCATATCGGCATGGGCTACCATGGCACTCTCACCCCACATGTCATCCTCCGCAATATTTTGGAGAACCCTGGATGTTACACCCAATACACACCGTACCAAGCAGAGATTGCCCAGGGCCGGCTTGAATCCCTGCTCAACTATCAAACTATGGTAGCCGACATCACTGGTCTTCCAGTTGCGAACGCCTCTCTCCTCGATGAGGCCACGGCCGCCGCGGAAGCCATGTCTATGTGCTTCAACATCGCCCGTAGAAAGAAGAAGTCTTTCTTCGTCAGTGAGCTCGTTCACCCTCAAACCATCGATCTGGTCAAGACTCGTGCCGAACGATTTGGTGTGGAGGTCATTGTCGGTGACCACAAGACATATGACGCTGCGAACAAGGACCTTTGCGGTACCCTAATCCAATACCCGGCCACTGATGGATCCATTGATGACTACGAACCATTCATCGCGGCAAGCAAATCTGTTGGTGCCAAGGTTGTCATGGCCACTGATCTTCTCGCTCTCACAACTCTTAAGTCACCCGGCGAGATGGGTGCCGATTTCGCTGTCCGTAACTCCCAGCGCTTTGGTGTTCCGATGGGATACGGAGGCCCTCACGCGGCTTCCATTCTGAGAATTTAAATTTCGCTGATTCTCATATGCTGCGCTAGCCCCTGCGATCTTTGAAGCCGATACAAGAGAGGAGGACTGGCGCGCCCTGTTTCGATTCCCTCCTCGCCACGGTAGCAACCCGTTCGGCAACGCGGTCCTTCCCTGCTTCCTCCGCCTGGCCGACCCTTCTCTCCCTCTCTTCCAACTTGCGCACCCACGCATGTAGCCTCCCCTGCTCGACGCCCGAGTACTTCAAGCTGGCGAAGAAGGAGCGGGAGGGGCGGGGGATGAACACGAGCAGCGTGAGGGCTTCTTGGAATTGACAGGGACTTTAACTAGCTCCCTCACTTCAGCCACGCGCAAATTTTTTGTTTCATCTCCGCCAAGGAGACGAAGCACATCTTAGGTTAATGCGAACGGACACCTTGAAGCGCTATCATGGACAATACCATGGTTGCAGTCCAGCGCAACGCAATGATCTACAATTCCGTGTTCCACTATTCGGACTATCCACACGCCTTGATTATGGTGCGCAAGCCACTTGAAAGGATTTGTATCGAACGCCTTCTTCACAGCTTTAGGAACTCGGCGCACTGATAGTTGAGCGGGAATTTTGTGAACCAGAGAAAAGAGTTGCTTGAGTGTTTTGATCTTCATCGGATGCTTCCGAAGGTACTTGTCGACGCTTGTTCCTCCTGTGGTACCATGTAGCGCACAAGTGCCGTTGGACAGCGCAGCCGACACGCATGAATCGTCATTGCTGCGCACGAGGTTCGGGCCATACCGGTGCACCTCAAACCTTCTTGATCCAGTGATTTGTCCGCGTGACCCAATACCGCCGATGAGCATCGGTACACGGCGATGGGCCATCATCCACGCATACAGTCGACGGAACATCTCTTGCAAAAACTTTTTCTTGTGCGGCAAGTCGTTGGTACCATCATCTATCGCGTTTAATAGAGCCTGCCTTGTGTGAAGGGATAGTGTAATCGAATTGGCATCGATAGGCCAGAAACTTTCGTTACCGCCTGTCAATCCGGCGGCAGCGTACAAAACGCCATCTTGCATTTTGTGGCCGCTTGCCCCTTGTCGGCCATCACTAATCATCACCCTGTGAATCGCCCAGCTCATAGTGTCCAAGAATACTAGGAATGTTGCACTTCCCCAGAGATCTGCACAAACTTCCGTTCTTAATGGACGCGCGTGAGATGGGCGCCGGGCTCTTTGGTGCGGGTTCCGGGTCACTTGGAGATGCCGCCGCGGTGCACCGTGCTAGAGGCAGGGTGAGCAAGGCGATGAAGAAGGCCGGTGAGGGCATTGCGGCGAGATGTGCGGGGGGGTAGCTGGGGAACGTAGACGCCGAAAAATGGCGGGTTCAGAAGGCAGAACGTACGCCGCGTGACCGCGCGTCACCGTATGCCACTGTCGTGGGCACTGGGCGGCCTCTATAGCCACACTATATTGTTTCAGTTTTGAGAGCGCTTTATCCAGTTTGAAACCGTGCGTTGGCGTGCTTTTATAAGGGTGACATTAAACAATCATGCGTTTCTAGGGCGATTTTTCTAACATTTAGGTCTCTGCCGAAATGCCACGATAGCATACGTTTTTATGGGGTGACATCCCTGAATATTAGTTTGTCGGAGGTGACTTTACGATCATTTTTCTGTCACCTTAGAAAACGTCCATTGTCACCCATGAAAAGGACACCATGGACCAAAATCACCCTACTAGCAAAGCACTTTTTAGTAGTGTCGCCGTATAAAACCCCCACCGCATTGAAATCGCCCCACGTAGATTTCACTTTGGCCGGGTGTCGCCCCAAAATCTACACTTTGACCCTAAAAAGAAAGTCGAGGAATCTCTGATCCAGTACGGCTAGAGATTCTGTATCTCCTCCTGGTTGATTAGGAAACGCAGAGCATCCATCACTACCAGTCTGACCTCATTTGGGCAAGGGGAAGTAGTTTTTGAAGTTAATTTAAAAAGACGTTACCAAATTATACTTTCGTGGAAGAGTAATCCTCATGAGGTGGCTTTACTCGTCGTCGCCGTCGCTCCTACTAAATACTGTTGTGGACAGACTGTGATATGGACAATCTGTCCTTGCGGTCCGTCATTTTCCACACTCGTTTTTATTCCGAAGATCTCCTGCAGTGGGCGTACCATTGAAATCCCCTTCACAATATCATTGTTCTAACGATCCATTTGACCGCCGCCCCTGCTCAATGCCGGTCATCTGGCTCCCTTCAATGACGGATCTCGCTATGCGATTAGTATTACTGTACTAACGCCGCTCTGTTTTGACCCCGCCGATTCCAGTCTCTGTGCTTTGATAACCTGGCACGTCAGGGTGGCTTCCCCTTCTGACACCCCACGCTGTCTGATCATTCTGCAAAATGCAGCGCATGTTACTGTCTCATGTCCAGTGCGTTCCTTAATTTCTTCAATCCTTATCAAAACCGTAACAGTTTGTTCTCTGCGTTGGTAGAACATTTACCGAAGTAAATATATGTCTGACTTCAATGTCGAGTCAGATCTTGAAAAGCCGACCCTTCCGAGAGCGCGTGCCGCGTACGACGGGAACTGTTGGGAGGAGTTGGTCTCTCCGGTTTGTCCACAAACGGGCCGCGTAAAGCAGGAAGGTAGACTACCGACGAGCAGCGGATGCAACAAGTCACCGTTGCCCGGGGACAGGGCTGCCGAGTTGGATAGGCTGACTCCGTGCGCGAAGTTCTAAGATTCAAACGCGAACTATAACGCCGCGTGGTTCAACAGTCTCCTCACTGCTCGGTTGCCACTGCTTGACGCCCTCTCGAGCGTTCGACTATGCCGGACTAGTTGCACTAGGATTTTGGTTGTGCAATTAAAGCACTGTGTTGTTCTGTTCTTTTTGTTCGTTATTGGTTTCTTTTGATATCTATCCGCAAACGTATCTACTTATATCGCTAATGCAGAGCTACTTCATTCCTAATGCTCCAGCTAGGTGCCTCTCGATAAAGCAAAAACGATGGCCGCTGGCAGGATACTGTATTTGGCGCATATGCCATGTATGCGATATCAACCCTGAATTTCAGATTCCCATTTCGAGAATCGCAAGCCTGATTTATCATATCCATTTCCTTCGTTGGTTCCATGCGTGCAGATTAACAATCCTGCATGGACACGACTTTGATCGTATGCCGTGACGCGTAGATCGTGCAGTCCGGTTGCTCCGTCGTGGACTTTACTATCGATCAGACGCAACACAGGTGTAGCCCCCCACTAGCATGTCGTCGTGGAATTCTCCTACTCTTAGGCTACCTTTACCAGCGTGGAATATCGGCTCGCCCGGCGCGTCGGCCACTACCTCCCCGACGAGGCCTGCGGAGAACTCCTGGCCCCACTTTTCGTCAAGGTATTTTTTCTTTGTGTGAAGATTAACTCCCATCTCATTGGATCCACCTACTGCACCTTGACCCATGTAACAGCCCGTCCCGTTTCTCTATAACTGGAGTTGACCGGGTCCGACCTCCTCAACGCACGCATTGATTTCTTCAGCAGATACGCCCCAGAACATAGCTCCCCATCCTTTCACAGACCTGGAATCTACGAGGATCGTTTTGTAAGTCAAGTGAGCTCTGGTCGTCTTAGGGAACATGATGGCCATCACAGAGATACCTAAAAAGAAAGTGAACCCAACAACTTCGACCGTGTCCATAACATTATTCCATGTAAATTGAAACACTCGTTCGCCGAATGGGCCCTCGACCTTGCCTGAAATTCCGAAAGCTATAAGATTGACAGCATATATTAATGCTGAGATGTACACATTGGTAACCGGAGAGGCTGCGTAGGCATCTCCGTCATAAATCCAGCTCTTGGATAGGATACGCGTGATGAATTCCCTAGCGTCCAAAGCCCCGAACCTCCGCCTCTCGGGTGCTTGCCATGCCACTATAGTACGACATCTGCTATTCTCTTCATCTTCACTCGCAGAGTAGCATGTTTCTGTGAAGATCTTAACCAGCCTGACTATCCCGCCATCAAATTTGCTCTTTCTTCGTAAGTCAGCGTGACCCGCAGCAACTCTGTAAAACGACCACCCCAGCCCAAAGACGGTAGTTAATCTCAAGGACCTGATGTACGCTCTGTTAACTCGCCCTTCTAGCACATCGATGACTAAGCAGCACCAGGCCAGGCTGACGATGGGAATGCCCCATCTGAAGTAGTCGAACATGATCGCCTCTATGGGTATTAAGACCCAATATAATACAAACCCCGGTACTGCCGACCCGAAATATATGTAATCTGCTAGGCCATACGTGCAGGTTATAGTCAGCCAACCCAAATAAACCCGCGCTACAGCCCAGTCCAATATAGCGTCTTCTATCGTTCGTTTCCAGTTGCTCCTCTGGAATCTCCTCACTACGAGTAATGTTGCCTGCAGAAGCGCCCATTCACCGACGGCCTGGAAGGGTAATGTCCATGATCTAATGAAAATCGTCCAGCCCAACCTGAAACTAACAGCCACGTACAATACCGTCGGGATCGCGTAAGTCATCACCTTCAATGTTCTTCTGTCTGTTCCCGTGAAAGGCATCTTGGTCCGGTCAAGACCCTTATTGCTCGCCATTGCCGGCTCTGGGCCGCAGGCATCGCTCCCCTTCTCAGATAGAAGTCTGTCCTGGCTTTCCATATTAGCCAAGACCGCTGAATAATTGTCTCTCATGTTCATCTTGAACTGGAGCTTTCATCTCATGTTTGCTCGCTTATTCACAGCTTTGAACCCGTGTGCCCTAAGGTTATCTTCCAAGGTGTACGGGGAAAAGGGGGTCGTGTGGTCGGGTTTTCGTGCATCTCTCAATTTTAAGTGCAGAATTGCAATCCGATTTTAGTTGCAAATTAGGAATGAGTGCTGGAAATTCCCACACGCCCTGTGACGGCGATAAAAAGAGGAGGCTCCACGGGTTGAGGAGGGGGAGAAGCAAGGGGAAGGGAGCAAGAGGCAAAAAGTACATCAACAGCAACACCCCCGAACATGAGCTAACACA